CCTCAGTGCAGGGCAGTTGGTCACTCACAACAGCTACTGTCATGAATTATCAGACCATCTAGGGAATGTCAGTTAGTCACATGCTGTTGCACCTGATTTGGCGGTCTGAAATTCTACCTGCTGCTCTAAGAAGCTGCCCGGCCCTTGACTGCAATGAAACAACCGATACATAATTAACAATCAATCGCAACAGATGCTTAGACGCAGGGGAACTGGAGAAGCACAAGTTATATGAACACATACCAGGGCTAACAATCTTTATCCTCTTTGTAATAGCCCTGACAGAAGTAACAGAGGTTGCTCCTGCTTGAGAAAGGGATTAGTCAGTATAGCAAAAAATGATGATAGGAATAAGAGGGCAAAGAAAGGAAACAGCCAATTGTCATTGGCGGATCTTATTAGAGAAAGGTCAAAACCTTGTGGATTCAAATCTTCAGCGTAATCTGCTGCCACTGGCTTCACTGAATCAGGTAGAACAGGATCTGCTGCCATATGACCACTAGTAGCAACAGGCTCTAGTCTGCATTTGTTCAACATGCACAAGGAACACATCTTAGCATGCATAGTTTTGCAAACACTAAAAATCGAAAGACAACTGACAGAAAGAAAACAGGTATGCTATACCTTTGAACTTCAGCACTCGTGGAAGGGTTCAGAACACCTTCGTTGTCAAGATCAAAGTCAAGCAGGAGCTCAGAAAACGAAAATTCACCATCACATATATCAAAATTTGTGAAATCGATGTCAAAGTCATATTGCTTGTCTTCATCAGAGGAGCTAGAGATCTTGTCACAAATCTGATCACTGGGACCTGGCTCGGTACAATCGAAGTCCAACTTGCAGGTGGTTGGTTTCAAGGGGGAGCTGCGGGTGGTTGGTTTCAAGGGGGAGCTGACATGGTAACTCCTCTCAACAGCATAGTACGCGCTCCCTTTGAGAGGACTGACGATGAGAGTCTTGGAAGAAACTACAGAGCATTGGGAGGAGCCAATGTCCTGTTGGGCATGAACATTTGCAACGGCAGACACTGGAGTTGCAGATGGATAAGCAGCAGGCTGATCTTGTACGGGATTGCTTTGTTGCAGCGTATATGGAGAAGAGTGGGCCGGAGGTGGAAGTGGCCTGAATAAGCTCTTTGCAACAGATGAAGTTTGGAGTGGAAGCTTTGCCATAGCTGAATGTTGAGCAGAAGTTGGTTGGGCAGCGGAAGCCATCTTCTGATCCTTCGACGGATGAGAGGCTACAGGTACAGCTCTACCTGGCATTAGGAAGTTAGAATCTTAGCACAAACATATCTGCAGAATGCAATGCTTTTTTTTTTCTCAAATAGATAAATATATGCAGGGCTAGAGGAAATCCCAATTTTTAAGAAACTGTGAAGGAAAGATTGTTAGGATTAACAAACATGCAACAGAGAATTAACAGAGAAGCACAGCTAGTAATGCTTCATCAACAATTGTCAATGACACAGACACAAACAGCTTAAAGTTAAAGCCCTGTTCGTTTCTCGGTGTCATCATATGTGAATGATTATTTTTGCCTATGTGATTTTGTGTTAAAGGTATTATGAGTCAGACCAAAAAACAGTCCCATTGTCATCACAGGTCAAACAAGGATGATGATGAATTGGAGTATGAAGGGCACTGAAGCTAGCTGGGACAATACTTGTCTCTGCAGTTAGAAAGTCTTGATGGCACGGCAAGCGTATGACCTGGTACTGGTACCTTCCTGTTGTTTCCTTTCATCCAATGGCTTAAGGAGCTTTTGATATGGGTTGTTTTCAACAATACACATATTACATATTTGATAGTTCATATTTGGTACTTATCTTAGTTGAAGGGCAGGCCGGGTGCAGTGGTGAGAGCTGTCTCACTGAGTCACCAGGTCGTGGGTTCGAAGCAGCCTCTCTGCAGATTTGTGGGGGGAAGGCTTGCCTCGGTTTTTCCCTTCCCCAGACCCCACTCATGTGGGAGCCTCCGGCACTGGGTCTGCCCTTTTGTACTTATCTTAGTTCCTGTTTTGTTTTTATTCTCCAATGAGCTCCAACAGCACATTCAAATTTAAACAAATTTTTTAGGGTTAAACCATTGTGCTTACCGATATGCTATTATAAGCTCCACAGATTCAAATATGAGTACTAACTGAAAACTAATAGAAAATGATCAGCAAGATTAAATTAAAAATTTGAATATAAAGAGACTGATCATATTGTTTGATATGCCACCATATATATAAGATTAGATGTTGCATAAGCCTGTTATACCCATGTAGAAATAAAACGATTTTGGTGAATGCGGATCAACCTAAAAATAAGAGTACAATTTTTACAATGTCACCATTTTATTCGGTGCCATCTGCTTGTGTGGATATCTAATTGTAAGCACTTTGAGCATTACTGTACAGATACAGAGCCATATCGAAAGCCTTCATGAAGAAATAGGCCAGTTTATTGAAGATTTTAAGCATGGTATTAGCAATCAAAATAGATTTTAGGCATTATCTTGGCATGCCATCCTTAGATCTTCATTGAACCGATTATGATTTTTTCTCTCTCAATTGTAGAAATGAAGATACCTCCAAATCAACCTCCATTCCTTCCTCCAGTTCCGGTGGTTAGCATGGATATATATATGGACAGTTCCAAGGAGGGCGCGGCAAAGCCGTGAAGTGAGAAGTTGTGAAAGAAATATGTGTACCTTTTGCATCGGTGGTTGTAGCAGGAGCAATGCAGGATCTCTTGGAGGCTGAAGCGCTGGTCTTCCCTGAAGACTTTGAGGCCTTCCTCTTTTTATTAGTGGGCAGAGAGGTGGGAGCTGGGGTGGACAGATCTGTGGAGGAGTTGTGGACAAGAACCGCGGTGGATGCATGAGCGTAATGATGAATGAGAGGCGAGGCATGTCCGGCGGTTCCTGCAGCAGCAGCAGCAGCAGCAGCAGCAGCAGAGAATGAATTGAGGAAGAGCACAGAGCATACATACAGTAAATGAAGCAGAAGAGAAGAAAGCAAAGGTCGAACAGGTGGGGGGCAATCGCAATACCTTGGGACGGAGGCGACGAAGAATTGGGCGCGAAGAAGAGCGGCGGCGATGACGGCTGGGCACCGGTGACGGCGTGAGGCGGGGGAAGGGGAGGCATCATCATCATGTTCATATTCATATTGACGTGGGGCGGAACAGGCGGCGGAGTGGAGGACGAAGAGGAGGAGGAGGCGTAGTAGGTGGAGACGAGAGATTGCATGGCGCGCATGGCGGATTCGATGGCGACGCTGGCCCCCTTGAGCTCGATGTAGTCGTTGAGGATGTCTGCGAGCGGCATGGGGGGCCTCTTGGGCGTCTTCTTGGTGGGGCTGTAGATGCGCCCGGCGTCGGAGCGGAATGCGGCGAGCGCGGCGTTGAAGCCGTTGTCGGCGAGGTAGCGGTCGACGAGGAAGGCGACCTCCGCGGGGGTGACCTTCTTCTTGCTGGTGGAAGAGTCGGGGGGAGTGGCGTGCTTGGGGTTGGGCGGCGGCGGCGCCATGGCTGGTGGTGCTGGGCGGGGGTGGCCTTCTTCAGTTGGGCGGATGTGGAGGTTGCGGGATCCAAGTGATGCGGTGGATTGGAGATCTCGTCTGAAGGAAGCAGCGGCCAAGGAGGTCGGGGGCTGTGATTTTGTGAAGCGGAGAAGGAGGGAAAGTGGAGGAGAAAACGAAACGAGGGAACGCAAACGGCGAATAATGGCGCCAAACCCAACCCAATCGAATGGTTCGCGTCGTTCATTCACCCACCCCCCCCCCCCCCACCCACCTAAACCCATTCTAAATAAATCCCAAACAAGGGATTGGGATTGAATATAAGACCCCATAACCTTAACTCATACCATACCCACCACGGCATAACCCACTCTATATCTTTTTCCCTTTCCAAAATGCCAAGGACGAGTGAGACATGAAAATGAAAGTGATTTAGCCTCCTATCAATCATTTCCGCCCGAGGGGTGGATTTCAAGTGGCTAGGATGGGATGGGCCAAGGGCAAGAGGTGGATACCGTCATCTTCAGGAGCTCCCAAATATAATTCCCTCAATAACATGATAATGGAGATAACCTAATACCACTTTTTAATTTTATTGAGGGAGATGTTGTAGCAGATAACCAATAATTCATCGGGCCCCACATGTCAGCAAAAAAGGTTATCTCTCTACGCGCGGTCATCTTTCTCCACACATGTTTTCCCTAACACAGTCATCTCTCTCCCTTGTCGCTTCCTTCTCTCGCGCTCGCCCGCCGCCACTCTCTCGCCCGCCCTAGCCGCCGCTCCCTCTCCCCTGCTAGCCGTCGCTTTCCCTCTCCCACCGGTCGCCGCCTTCTTCTCTCTCCCGGGTACTCCATTGCCGTGGGGCGGCGGGCACTCAGACAACAAGTAGGGTGCTCCGGTTGCTAGCTCTGAGCTCCGCACAGATGGTGGTGGACATAAGAAAATTCCGTGGACTCCTCCACCGGTGGCCACCTCCGAGCTCCAAGCTAGACGCACACGCGCCAGGAGCAGCGGTGGCTTGCCGGAACGACAATGTCCAAGTGTGGGTAGGTTTTTGGTTTTTTTTTAGAATTGCTAGAGATGCTTTTAAGCCGCGCCCACGTGTCTGGGAAGGAAATGAGGCCTCAGAATATGACGGCCCAGAGATAGGATGGGCTGGCAAGAAAAATAAAACAGGAGATGAAGTGGTCCAGCTAGCCAGCCGGGCCATGGCCCACTAAAGCACGAGCAGAAGCAGCCCATCACGCAAATGCTCGTTTTGGGAAATTGTAATGGTAAATTTCAAAATAGGTATATATACCCACGAGTCCCCTTGCTCAGGTTGCTGTGCGGCGCCGCTGCCGCTTCCATGGGGTGCTCGCGTGAGGTCCTCAACCGGGGAGGCGGGAGCGAGCCCGGAGGCGGAAGCGGGGGCGGCGAGGGCGCCGGTGCCGCGGCGTCTTGTCTGAGCTCGGCGGTGGGGGAGAAAGTGGACCAGCTTCTGCGCCGTGATGAGAACCGGGCCCTGCTCGAGGGCGTCGAGGACGCCGAGCGCCGCCTTGACCGCGCTCGCCGACATCGAGCGCCAGGAGGCCGCCGCGCGCCTCGCCCGCGAGGAGTTCCGCCGCCTCGAGAAGCGGCGCGATGAGGTATGCTGACACGCTGTTATCCACCGCGACGCGCTTGCTGGCTCCAGGTTGTTCGATGTTTTGCCTGCTCAGCGAACGATGCCCATGCCGTGATGGTTTCCATGACCGGTGGGTCGCTCACAGTAGAGCGACCTGTCCTATACTGCATGCACTCGTTTCCCATGACCGGTGGGTTGCTCACAGGAGAGCGACCCGTCCTGTCCTGCATGCACTCGCGTTCAGCCTCCCACACTACTGCACAGAGCACAGACCCCACGCCAACACGAAGAAACGGGCACCATGTTGTTTCGACTAGATGCAATCTTACTAAGCTGTCTGGCCCTTAGATGTTTGGCGAATCCGCTGTTGTAGATTTGGCTATGTGCAATTATCAAAGAGATGATGTCAATTTTATATGATAATAAACTTCTGCAATAATCGAAATTTCTTCCTGACATGCTGGGAAGACATGACTAATTTGTTGCGTGATGCTTTGTTTAGTCTCTTTCTTTTTCATAAATGTTTACAGTGCTGCTTTGCACAAACAAGATTTCAGAGTCCCAGCGGGAATTGCTTCAAGCAAGAGAAATGATTGATGAAGCTCACCGTTCCTTGTCTTCTAGTCTTGAGGAAGCTTTGGAGATATGTCAAGTGGTGATGTTGATGAAGATAGCGAGAGAATAGAATCTGTAAAAGCTGCTGCAGTTTCCTCTATAGTTGGTGTCCTGTCTAGTTTCCCATGTCTTTCTATGAAGCCGAAGATCTGCCACAACTATTCCTTCAGTCATCTTTTTTTTTCATAAGTTGTGCTTTGTTTGGAGCCACATTCCGGTATGCTGTTAGAAGAGATCTGGACAATAAAAACAGGGGCTCCTGCTGCGTTCGCTTTTGTTAGAGGTAAAACCAGGCAACATGGTTTGTTAAAGCTCATATTCCTGAGAGTGTTCTTTTATTTACCGGAACTAAACTATCTGCAGGCCTTGCTCTGCTGGAATCTGGTAGAACCCGCGATCTGAGTACTGATACCTTAATATCAGTTATTCTTGATGGTGCAGTCAGTGTATCTGAGAACATTTTCATATTTCTGCTGCTGTTGCATTGGACTACTGTTTTAAGATGAGATTTTTTAGTCCCTTTTCTAGAAGAAAACAATAGCTTCTGTGAGGAATATGTAAGATCAATAACAATCTTAATTGCTCAGATGGTCATATGTAGCACAAATGATATCTTAGATTCATTAAGAAAAAAATTCCTACCATGCACTCAAAGTTCCATCAAGTCCCCCAAATAATATTTTTACTTGATCTTCTTCCTAAGATCTTATTCAACAAAGACTACTCATAACTTTGCTGTGAACATGAATTTCACTTTCTTCTTAATTGTCCTGCTCTTTATGAGGACTAGCATAGATGGACATATGCTGGAATGCCTCTTTACAATACCTGCCCCACATGGGGTTTGATAGATTTTAGATGGAATTCAGTACATCCTGGTTTGTCGCTCATTCAATCCTCATCCTGGTGTAAACAGAATTCGCTTCACCCTGTGATCATCTACTGTCTCATTGAGTCAGCATTCTGATATGGTCACGTAGAAGCATCGCATGATATCTATATTCATTATATGTTTTTATCATCATCTACATTAATTAATGCTTCTTTGTCTTTGTGCTTGTCATTAGTGCTTTTCGGTCAATTCACAAATCGTAAATTCGTAATTGCTTTGAAGCAACTAGTCAGCTGAAGCGTGTTGTAAACTCTGATGATTTTTACGGTCTTCCATAAAGTACCAAGGCGGATGGATCTGGGTGAGTGGGTGACATTTCATTGTGCTTGCTCTTTGTACCGTGATGAGGTTTCTATTAACAAATTCGAGGTATGAAATTCTGGCCTTGATGAAAATATCTTGGCTCTTTGGATATTCAATTTCAATATACATTTAGTGGACTGCTATAGCATGTTCTTAAATAACAAATTGCCAAGATCACTACTTGAAGGAGCAACCATGCTCTCTTTGAAAAACCCTGCCCACCGCTTTCGGGGCACTCTAGGGTCATGTCGATTATTTATGTTTGCATCCATGCTACATGTCAGTTGCCAGGCCATGAGCTGGGAGAAAAATTTGCTTCTGAAACTCTTCCAGAATGTATGTTCTGAGCATCACCAGAACTTGACATGGGCTTTGTATTGTTGGCCAGGTAACAACTAAGAACACAAAATGGAATTTGTCTGCCAGAGGGCTGCTTGGCCATAGGCCGTTTCTTTGTATTAATAGAAGTAGCAAACTTGTGATACAAGAAGGTCTCAACTACTACAAAGCATATTCTCTTTGGATAAAGCAGATGCTAGCTTGGATGCTAAGGCATCTGAAAACTACTAGATAGTGAATAGTAACTAGCCTAGATAGTGCATAGTAAATAGGTAAAACTAGACAGGAAGTCACTCGGCTAGCGATGCCGAAGCTGCCGGCGTCCGGGGTGGACCGTCCCAGCCACGCCTCTCGTCGAAGACGACGTCGCGGGCAATCTTCACACGCTGCATCACCAGGCCTTTGCTCCTTCCGCATACCCGATGAAGCGCCGGGCTTGCCACGATCGTCGAGCTTCCCAGCTGGTTCAGCTCCTTGGTGTAAGCGATGCACCGAAGGTCTTGAGGTGGCTCACGTGGCGCTTGCCGTGCCAGGCCTCGTAGGGAGTCTTGCCTTGCAAACTTCGAGTTGGTGATCAATTGAGCAGGTGAACCGCTATCATCACCGCCTCCCCCCAATACTTGGCCGGCATCCTCCTCTGTTTCATCAACGACCGGGCCGTGGCCACCACGGTCTAGTTCCGGCGCTCCACCACGCCGTTCTGCTGGGGCGAGTAAGGCGCCGAGAAGTGACACCGGATACCCTCGTCAGCGCAGTAGGCGGTGAACTTAGCAACAGTGAATTCGCCGCCATTGTCGGTGCGCAGCATCCGGAGCTTGTGGCCGCTCTCCTTCTCCGCCGTGGCCTGGACTTGCTTGATGGCGCCCGCGGCTACATCCTTGGATGGCAGCAGGACAGCCCACATGAAGCGGGATGCGTCATCCACCAGCAAGAGGAAGTAGTGCCGCCCTCCCGGAGTCATCGGCGTCACGGGTCCACATAGGTTGCCTTGAACCAGCTCCAGCTACTCCTGCGCGCAGTACTCTACTTGCTGAGGGAAGGGGTGCCGGCGCTGCTTCGTCGTGACGCAGGTGTCGCAGAGCTGCTCGACGTGCTTGATCACCGGCATCCTGCGCACCATGGCCTCCTTGCCGAGCTTGTGCAGCGCCTCGAAGTGGAGGTGGCCGAACCGCTCGTGCCAGCGCCAGGCTTCGTCGTCCTTCCTCGCGGCGAGGCAGAGCGGCTACGCCGTCTCAAGGTTGAGGACATAGAGGCGGCTGGGTCCGCGGCGCACCTTGACGAGGAGGCGGCCGCGCCGATCCTAGATGCGGAGCATTGTCGATCTCCACCTTGGACCCGCCTTCATCGAGCTGGCCAAGGCTCATGATGGAGTTGCGCAACGCCGGGATGTAGTAGACACAGTGCAGGATGCGGTGCTCGCCGGTCTTCCCTTGGAACACGATCGAGCCGACGCCCTGGATCTCCACCCTTGACGCGTCGCCGAACTGCACCGAGCCACGAACAGAGGTGTCGAGGTCAGAGAAGGGATCGCGACGGCCGGTCATGTGGTGGGTGGTGCCGCTGTCTACGTACCAACCATCCAGCTTATCTTCGCCGGAGCTGGTGTTGAGGAACGCATGGGCTCGCGGCTCCTCGATGTCGAGGCTGGCGTCGGCCTTGGAGCAGAAGATGTTCTCCTCCGCATCCAGCTCCAGGAAACCGTGGGCAAGGAAGAGAGTCGCCTCGTCGTCATCCACCTCCGTGACGTGCGCTGCACCGCCACGCTCGCGTCGAGGCTGGGGGCAATCCTTCGCCCAGTGGCCGTCGCGATGGCAATTGAGGCAGGTGTCGTCGCGGTTCGCCTTGCGTTCGCGCCGGCGACTCCAGCCTTCTCTCCTTGCCCGCCGTCGCCACGGTCGCCACGCTCAACCTTTGGCTTCTGCTTCTTGCCACCACGGGGACGCCGACGATGCTCCTTGGACAAACTGGATGAGCCGGAGCCGTCTCCACTCTTCTTCTTCCCCTTCTGCCGAGCCAACCACTGCTCCTCAGTGTACATCAGCTTCCCGCCAACGGTGATCGGCTCGGTGGGAGGTTCTTCCTCGAGATCGTCCACCGTCTTCAGCCTCCCGGTGACCTCCTCGATGGTGAGGTCCTGGAAGTCGAGAAGGGTCTCGATCGCGATCCTCAGCTGGGCATACTTCTTCGGCACGGCTCGAAGCAGCTTCTCCACCGCCCGCTCCTCCGTGAGGTCCTTGTCATCGTGGCGCGCCATCTGCTGCTTCAGCGCAAAGAGACGAAGGGTGAAGTCCTCGATCTGCTCACCGGGGCGGAAGGCGAGGTTCTCCCAGTCCTTGCGCAATCACTGCAGCGTGACACGGCGGACGCGGTCGACGCCGATGCGCGCTGCGGTGATGGAGTCCCACGCCTCCTTGGCAGAGGCCTTGTTCACGAGCGGCGCACCCATCTCTGGCGGCACTCCAGCGATGATGGCCTCGAGCGCGCGCCGGTCATCGTGGTACGGGGGGTCGCCGTACTCGATGGCGTCCTAGAGCTGGCGCCCCTGCATCTTGACCTTCATGAGCAGACTCCACTCGTGGTAGTTGGTCTTGGTCAACATCGGCCACGGCGTGCCCACGTCGGAGTCCTTGTACACCGTTTGGACGTCCGCAGGCGACCCGCGACGGCCTCCGCGTCCGCGACGGTGCTCCGGCGACGGTGAAGGTACGCGGCGCCGCGACGGGCTCCGTGATCCTCTGGGCTGTCGCTCCATCTCCGCGCGCAGCGCGGCGGCTGTGTTGGCGGCTGAGCGCGATCGGCGTCGGGGTTGATCGCCTGCGTGGCCGCCTCAATCGCCTGTGTGCGCTGAGCGCGATCGGCGTCGGGGTTGATCACCGCCCCTCCGCCGGCGTTGGCGGCTGCAGCGGCTGCACGCAGAGTGCGCTCGCTGGAGGTGGACATGGCTCTACTCTGCTCTAACCAAACCTAGGCTCTAGATACCAATTGTTGGCCAGGTAACAACTAAGAACACAAAATGGAATTTGTCTGCCAGAGGGCTGCTTGGCCATAGGCCGTTTCTTTGTATTAATAGAAGTAGCAAACTTGTGATACAAGAAGGTCTCAACTACTACAGCATATTCTACTGGATAAAGCAGATGCTAGCTTGGATGCTAAGGCATCTGAAAACTACTAGATAGTGAATAGTAACTAGCCTAGATAGTGCATAGTAAATAGGTAAAACTAGACAGGGAAGTCACTCGCTGCTGATGCCGAGCTGCCGGCGTCCGGGGTGGACCAGTCCCAGCCACGCCTCTCGTCGAAGACGACGTCGCGGGCAATCTTCACACGCTGCATCACCAGGCCTTTGCTCCTTCCGCATACCCGATGAAGACGCCGGGCTTGCCACGATCGTCGAGCTTCCCGAGCTGGTTCAGCTCCTTGGTGTAAGCGATGCAGCCGAAGGTCTTGAGGTGGCTCCGCCGGCGTGCGCCCGTGCCAGGCCTCGTAGGGAGTCTTGCCTTGCAAACTTCGAGTTGGTGATCAATTGAGCAGGTGAA